CCCCCCCCCCCCAGTTGCTACGGCCCTGAGCTTGTCAGTCCTGATTGTGTGTTTCATCTTGTAGTGAGTGAGTCTAAAGACTTCCAGCTTATCAGCTGTGCTGCAGATAAATCCGTCATATTCAGAGCTGCCCAGAAGGTACTGTATATTACCCTATTCTAGTTTTCAGAGCAAATGTACGAACACAATGTGACCACAAATATACCGCAACAATGAGTAGCTGGTTAGCGTAGGAAACAGTGGAGTTTTTAAAACAATGAAAGGACAATCGACCATTGCGATCACTGAATCAAGACTGAATGGACACTATTGTAAATGACAGTTTTGCAAATGTCCATTATGCTTATTATATTAGTATACCATAGTAAGATGAGTTGTGTAGCATGTGAAGTTTGGTTTATTCCCTGACCAGGATCCTGAAGTGCAGTTCACGAGGTATACCAATGTGGCGACGAAAACAACATTTTATGACATGGATATTCATCCTTCAAAGTAAGTACCCTCCTCGCATGCGTTGTAGAATACTTAGGAAGAGAACAGGAGAGCTTTTTAAGAAATACAACTACTTTAACAACACAAGAAAAGACTTCGACGTTTCTAGCGAGAGTCCTTCGTTTGCAATTTAGCTGCCGAAGAAGTTAGAGAGAAAACTCTTCATTTTTATTCTCGACATAATAAGCGTTCTTTAGGTAGATATTCTTCGCTCTCTCAAATGAGCCTTGATCTATCCGCGCGTCCTGGTGTAGTGTTGTCTTTAGGACAGAGTTTATTTTCTACCAATTGTTTCTTTTTAGAACTTATGCGGTTACTGCTGGTCAGGACCGGAATATGAGGTAAACACGTCAATATGATCTGTATCTAGCACAACACTAAGTTACAGTATGTCCATGTCATCCCCTAAGTATCTGATGGTGACATTAGACTCAGGGGCGTAACTCTTTCAAATGCCAAAACTCTGTTTTCAACTCCCTTTTCAAATGCCAAAACTCAGTTTTAAAATGTCAGAACTCCTTTTCAAATGCCAGAACTTCGTTTTCAAATGCCAAAACTCAGTTTTCAAATGCCAGACCTTTATTTTCAAATGTCAGAACTCCCTTTTCAAATGCTAAAACTCTAGCTGTTTTCAAATGCTAAGCTGTTTTCAAATGCTAAAACTCTAGCTGTTTTCAAATGCTAAAACTCTAGCTGTTTTCAAATACTAAAACCAAAGGGGTAACTGTTTATGTTACACTGCAGTCTAATTAGGGCCGTAACTTGGGTATTACGGTTGGGGGAGGTGTGAGCACAGAAATGCTTTTGAATCAAATTGATATTATAACTCACAAACCAGAACTTATTTTATACTATCGCCATGTAGAACTACAAAAATATTAGCAGTGAAACATGTCTGATATTATACCTGGTTGTCACGAACTTATACGAATTTTAATATTCTTTTCTTTGTACTCAGGTGTATGATATACAGTAGCAGTGAAACATGTCTGATATTATACCTTGTTGTCACGAACTTAAGAATTTTAATATTCTTTTCTTTGTACTCAGAGTGTACGACATAGCAAGTGGTAAACAACTCCGGTCATTTAAAGGAGCGATGGGAGACGACGGCATTATTCTCAAGGTAACAAATTACAATCTTTACAATCCCCTCTGCTTACTTCACAACCTGGTCTCCTGTGTGTCCTTGTACCAGCTGGTTTACCAATGTGTAACATACTGAAATACAGTAGCCTATATTTGGGTGAAGTATTTGATGAGATATATCGTATGTTAAAACTAGGTGTTGCTGGACAGATCAGGATTCTATGCAGCAACCAGTTGTTCTGATAAATCTCTGGCTCTTTATGACTTTGATATCGGAGAATGTGTGGCTGGCATGGTCGGCCATTCTGGTGAGTTGAGACTTCTTGTTGATTCGACAAGCGAAGAGTCTTCATCGGAAGGGTAGTTGTGACTGGTCACCTCCTGATGAAGTCCTTCGCTGGAGAAATGTTTAAATCTTTTAAACGTTGACAGAAATGTCAGAAACCACACTTTTCGGTCTCTGAGCGTTTATCGTCTTTTTTTAGAAATCGTCACTGGACTACAGTTCTCGTTGGATTGTGAGAGATTGATCACCGTCTCAGGAGATGGGTAAGTCCAAGCTCTCTCCCACGGGTCCTTTAAGAAAAGAAGAGGAGAAGTGTTTTACAATATATTACATTTTATTGCGTATTATCCATGCAGCACTAACGCAGCTAGATGTATATTCTCAGTTAAAGGGCATATGACTCGAAAATTGACGGTGTTATTTTTGTTTTCTAATGTGAAAGTTCATTGAAAACCGTAGAGTAACTTCTTTGATAGATTTTTGTTTTCTGGCTTCGTTTTGAAGATATTTCATTTTGTATGATATGCAAAGGATCAATTATCTACGTCATATATGCATAATGATTTAGCCCTGAAAGTTGTATATCATTAATACGACTAAACACAATCTGGTCAGTAGAAAACCTACATGGGTGTTATTGTGGACAAATCTCGTGCTCATTCATTTTGAGCGAATTTATTTGATAGTGACAAAATTATATAACATTTTAAAGAAAGTCATTATGCATATGTGACATAGGAAGTTGGTCCTTTGCATATCATACAAAATGAAATATCTTCAAAACGAAGCAAGAAAACAAAAATCTGTCAAAGAAGTTACTCTACAGTTTGCAATGATCTTTCAAATTACACTAAAAAATAACATCGTCAATTTTCGAATCATATCATGCACTTTAAGCAATCTTTTGTCAAGAAATTTTAAGGGCCCTCTGATCATTTGTCAGAAGTTGAAGTTTGGTTACTTTTTTCAGTTGTATTTTTGTGTGGAAATTACCATCAGCCTTTTGTCAGGTTGGTGTGAAATTAACTGTTCGCTGTATACTTCTATCTGTAATAATTTACATATACTTTTTTCTTTGAAAAGATGCTTTACAAAGAAATGAAATTATTTTTATCTTTTAGAATATGTTGGAGAAAATGCAAGAGCAAGACGAATTTGCGAACAGGTCGACGCTGGATGAAGTGAATGAGATCGATGGCGCCGATGAAGAATTTCGTCCCGCCACAAACGATATGTTTGAGATGAAAGAGCGTAAGTACAGATTATTTTTATTGCTTTGGTGAATCAGAAAATTATCGTTTGTTTAACTCATTGGAAAATGTTTGTTATGTAGCTGACTCCTTGTTTGATGACTATCGACTCAGCACGATCAACAAGCTTCCTACCTGGGCGAAAAAGCAGGTAAGTTTAGTTGGTATTCTATCAAACTAAATTAAACTTAGTCTAAAACTAACTTTATTTATACTGGATAGCTCCATCATTTCTGAACTGTTATTCCTAGAGGTGCATGAAGATTGATACCTTATTGATCCAATGTTGCTACAGCAGGGAACCTGAACTAAACTAACTTTATTTATACTGGGTAGCTCTATCAGTTCTAAACTGTTCTTCCTAGAGGTCCAGTAAGAATCATCTCTTATTGATCCAGTGTTACTACAGGAGGAAACCTAAACTAAACTAACTTTATTTATACTGGGTAGCTCTATCAGTTCTAAACTGTTCTTCCTAGAGGTCCAGTAAGGATCATCTAACTTTATTTATACTTGGATAGTTCTATCAGTTCTAAATTGGTCTCCCTAGAGTCAATCTCCGGTCAGAAAGGTGAAAGCTATACGACTGTCACAACTGCAATTCACAACTTGTAAAGTCTGGTTTTCTTGTGACAAAATCATGGTCCCTCATGTGAAATGATCTATAGATCTATCTTGTCTTTTGCGTACTGAATGCAAATCAGTCTTGACGTATATCTTAGATCCTCTACTACAATTTTCTTCGGCCACATTGACATGGTCGCAAGCGTCGCTAAGGCTCTGTAGCGTTGGTTAATTTTTCTCCACGTACAAAATATTTCAGGTGATTACGAGTGTGGATATGGAAGTTTCCGTCATCACAGAGTCATTTCAGTCGTCTAATACCTCGATACTCAATACAAGAGCGAAACCCGAGGGACGCTGGGCAGAGGTGGGTTGAACTAAGACCCCTGTTACACGATACTGGATTCGCATCGGAGCGACATCAAACTTTACAGTTTCAAGGAGAGTTTAATTAGCACTCGAAATTATGATAATATAACAGAAGTAGTCAAAAATTTCAAATACGAAAGGCCGAAAAGCGTCTTAGTTGATGTCGCTCGACTCGCTCTGATGCGAATCCAGTGTAACTGAGGCCTAAAATGACATCATTCCTCATCCCTCGAGATAGAACTGTGAGATTTTTGTCATGGTGATTCAGAGTAGCTACCAGTTTTCAAAATGGTGTGAAATTTAACTGCTGGTTTCAGCAAGCATTACAAGACGGCGGCAAGTGATGGTCAACTAATGAAATATTCACAGTTGTAGGAACAAAAGAAATTAAACTACATCAGTAAATTATATTTATTTACCACCAAGTACACACGTAAAATCTCACATCTTGTAACAAGTCTGCCAACAAATCGTCAACGAGATTTATTCGCACTGCTTGTCACAAGTTGTCAACCGGTTTGGAACAACTTGTTGACAACTTGTAACAGCCGTGTCGAACTTATCAGACTTGTTGCAAGGTTGTTCTGACAAGTCCGTTGCATGCTTGATATAACAAGATTGTTACAACCTTGTGTTGACAACCTTGTAACATCCTTGTTGTATCATGGCTGTAACAAACTTGTTAGCACAGTCTTGTAGCAAGGCTGATAATGCCATCAAGCTTGTTACAAGTTGTTAACAGCTTGTTTCAAACTTGTTACAACAAACTGGGAACAATCAATGCGAACACAACTTGTCGACAGCTTGTGAACAGATTTGTAACAACTTGTTTGCAGACTTGTTACAACTTGTGCGTTTTTACGTGTGTACAAGCCTACGACATATAATGAAAATAATCAACATTATTTTCTCACTCTGATATTTATAAACTGCAGGTTCACCACCATCAGCTGCACAATAGTGCTTAGTGAAACCCAGTTATATTTAAACTATCTCATTTTGTTTAGCGTTTCAACCCGTTGGAGATTTTCCCTGATTCACTTGGTGAAACAGACAAAGCCGTTGGTACGTGGATATTAAAATGTATATTTAGTCATTTTCTGATCGACTTATAAAAACTTATGATATTAATTATACTTTTGAATAATTTTCAGACGGTAGTCCTGAAACGAGACCCTTCCAACATCATCTGGATTTGCTAGCTAACACGGTATGTCATACATGCACTTTATAAATTGAGTCACACATATTTTCTACAGATATTTTACTAAGTAATGATATTTTACTGAAATATTTCCCCTAACATCTTATGTTTTGCTTTTTAGCCACTCGAAAAACGCCATTCCAACGGATCGGTAAGTCTATAGTGCTTGCACGAGCCCTATATTAAGGCTCAGGTTTACACCATCAAAGTTTCTGTGATCACAGTAGGAATTTTGCATCTAGGTAAATTCTAAGATTTGAAGAATTTGTAAAAAATGTTTGAGGAAACTGATTTAATGTTAAACAGCGACGTCCGTTCCCTTAAACATTTCTTACAAATCCTTCAAAACTTACAATTTACCTATCCAAAATTCCTACTGTGATCACAGAAACTTTGATAGTGTAAACCAGGCTTTAAATTAGCGACTGTTTCTGTCCTGAATTGTGTGCATTCACGAATATTTATGTTCATATTATTTTTGAAGCTGACAGACGAACCGATTTTCTTGGAGAATGCAGAAGCTGCGTTACAGTTGTATGAAAAAGAAATTAAGAATAATGTAAGTCTAAAATAATATTTCTTTGCAACGAAGTCCAGATACGAGTATTTTAACTGGCTTGAAATATATCTACAGTAGAAAATTAGTGGATTTACTAAAAGCACTATCCTACAATAGACGGGCACGGTTGTTCAAAGGTGCGTTAACGCTAACCCTGGGTTAAAATTTAACCTGCTGTTTTAGTTTATGTATTTCTGCAAGTCTGTTTATTTCAAAACGTCGTTGAAGAAAACTCCTACTATAAATCCAAGCAAGATTTTTGAAGAAAATTTCGAAATTTATAAACAGGCTGTTGAGTCTATAGTTGTATTTTTCGCAACCGCTTCTGGTTAGGTTTAATCAATGTACAAAATTCACATATACAGAAACATTATAAAATTCCATAAACCATTCTACAATGGACCTTTCCTGTAATTACGTTACGACCAACACTGTTTTCAACTTAGTGCCACCTTAAATGGAATAGATCTCAAGTTTGTTTCTCAACGGCTATGGTCAGAGAACAGAACACCCTTCTTCAACACATGCATAAAAAAGAATTTTGGATTTTGACCAGTAAATGTGGAAATAAGCTTAAACACAAAAACGAGGCTGAGGGGCCAAAAGGGGCCATGGCCCCTCAGCCTCGTTTTCGTGTTTAAGCTTATTTCCACATTTAATAGAATAAATCCAATATTCTATTTTATGTATGTGTTGAAGAAGGGTGTTCTGCTTCTGTGACCATAGCCCGTGAGAAACAAACTTGAAATAACAGTGTTAGTCGATGCACAAAATTCTGATATTGTACATAAATGCTTTATTTTAGGTGGTAGAAGATTTACAATGTAATGTGACTGTATCTCGTGGTAGCGACATCAATGTTGAAGCAATTCAAAAGTGTCGCGTGGAGGAGGAGGATTCTTCAGATCACAATGACAGCAGTCTTAATAAAGAAAGTGACGAGGATATTATTTATTATCCAAATGAAGAGGAACTGGACGGCGAAGTCGCAAGGTATAGAAGTAGAACCAGAATGCATTTTCAGCTGCTAGAGAGATGAATCAAGTCCAGGTTGGGGTTAGGGTTAGGGGTGTGGTGGGGTTAGAGTCAGGGTGAAGGTTACATTTTAGGTTAGGGTAACCTTTTAGATTAGGGTCGACCAATCATTGTCCAAAATGGATTCCTCTCTCTGCCGATATTATAGGTAAACTACGTGAAGCGTTCCTCTTTTGAATTCATAACTTGATTGCAATTTTCCGCATTACAGTACCTTTGCAAAATTGAAAACTCCCTTGCAAGTCCCTTGAGGGCAATTGTTCCTATCGGCTGTTGCAGTATTTCAATGAGAAACTTTCTTAGAAATTTTCCTAACTTCCTGGTTGTTCCTAGCGTTGTTATTGGTGGATTATTTTTGTTAGCCAATTACAGAACAGGAAGTTAGGAACTTGTAACAGGAAGTTAAGAACTTCTAACAGGAACTGAGGAAAATTTAAATGGCTTTTAGGAGCATTGCAAATTCTCTCAAGGGATTTGCAAGGAAGGTTTTCAAATTCGTAAAGGTATTTAAAGAAAATTACAATCAAGTTAGCTTGACGTAGTAATTTTAAGCAATAAAAATGAATATCCAATTAAACGCAAAATTTAACATTGGTATAATGATATTTTATGATTCAAATTAACCTTATATAACCAGATATTTGTGGAGATCAAACCCAATAAGTTATAAAATATTTTGATAATAACATATGTAACAATATTATTTTTTTTAACGCATGAAATTTAAATGTAATTTCTATTTAAAGCCTTTCCACTGACAAGATGTGTAAGACTAACCCAAGTAAGGACTCGTTAAACACCCAAACTAACCCTACGACTAAATCTGACCCAAATAAATCCGAAGAAATAAACGAAGTACAGACAACAAAGCCAGGTTATAAAATACCTCTGAAGAAACGCTGTATCGAGGATATTCTACAAAGTCCGACAGATGAAGTCGGTTATTTTGAAATGCGTTCTGGTCATTCGATGGATAACCTAGTTATACACGAAGTCGAATTTGCTTTGTTAGGAAGGCGAGACTCTACTGAACAAACTCTTGAAGCTGTGTAAGTTTTTAAATTTTAAATACCAGATTCAATTCATTCTAAAATCACCTTCGTTAAAAATTTCCTAGTTAAAGGACAATAGCAACAAATATTTTTACTAAGAACGTTTAAATTATCTAGAAAATCGTGTTACTCATTTTTTATATCAAGCTTATTAACTCTTAAGATATTTTAGCTGAAAGCAATGAGCTATCTGCTAGTGTGGTTAGCTTTATAAAATTACTTCTAAGTTACTGTAACAGTCAAAAATTGTTTAAAATGTTTTTATTCAATTCGAAATTTGAACTATAGCAAGTAATAACGAGTTTTGGGGTCATATTCATCGCTGGCTGTCAAGATAAAAAACTTGCGCGACGTAATATGTATATCCTCAATAATCCAAGATGTCGGACATTGATTTCAGTCAAAAAATATTTCAAGAGTTAAGCAAGATTTGAAAAATCTGTAACAACATGTTATAGATAATTTTAACCAGGATTGTAGTTACATTAATCAGGAAATCTAACCATGAACGTTAAGTTACCCAAACACAGTTAATTTTATATTAATGAGGAAATTTTTAACCAGAATTTTTTTAGATCGAATTATTGCGATTTTTACCTTCAAATATTCGAATCTTCTTGGTCTCAATCCTAACACTAATCCTTACCGCCTAACTATAATCTCATCCCTAAAATTAATATAACTTCTAAACCTTAAGCCCAAAAGTAATCCTGACGTAATACTAACATGAAATTGTGCGACTTCCACCTCCGAGATATTGAGTTCAGTCAACGCTCTGCAGAAAGTCGTGGGTTTTCTCTGGGTACTCTGGTTTCCTCTCACAGGGAAAGTTGACAGGGTGGGTTGGGATTAGCCACCTAACTGACCCTTCCACCGTGGCTGTGCTCCGTGGTCAGACATGAGTCATAAGGTGGCTGCCATAAGCGCCCTTAGAAAGCCTTCGACTAATTGTTCAGGTTGAGCTGCGTCCATCGTAATTCAACTTAGCCCACCTACTTACATACCTAGACAAACTACACACGTAAAAACGCACAAGTTGTAACAAACCCGCACCAGACTTGTAGCAATGCTGTTCCGACAACTTGTCAACAGGATGTGTTCGCACTGCTTGTTCCCAGCTTGTTGACAACTTGCTACAAGGTTGTTGAGCTCAACAGACTTGTTACAAGTTGTTCCAGCAACTTGTTATCGTCCTACAATTCAACAATTTGTCAACAAGTTGTGAGTGACAAGCTTGTAGCAACTTGATGAAACAACAGCATTGTTACAACTTGTTGACAAGCTTGCTACAAGTCTGTTGCAAACACATCTTGTTGACAAGTTGTGAAATTTTTACGTGTGTACTTGGCACGGTCTGTAGTCTTTAAATTATTTCATATTTTCTGTTAGGCCATACGATGTGAAAATATATGAAGATTGTGGCGATGAGAAAGAATTGGAAACCCAAGTAAGTGGAAGTACTGCGCGACACAGCAGCCCCTGTATTTTCACGTCTCTGAACAGGATCTGGTTAACGAAAGTCGTAATAAGATTTTTTAATGCTTGTGATGTTACTCGACTCACTCTGAGTGTATATACACACCGGGCAAGCTTGAAAAATATGCCTGGCCACGGTGGGAATCGAACTTACGACCTTTGGAATACTAGCCCAATGCACTGCCAACTGAACTACGCGGTCAGGTCGGTTCGAGTATGTGATATTTCGGAACTGAGTCTAGTTCCTTCGATAATGATGTAATCTAGTAATCATGAATTTTTTTGTGTTGGTGTAATGTACTCGGGTGAATATGATGCTTGTGATGTTCCCACCGTGGCCAGGCATATTTTTGAAGCTTGCCTGGTGTGAATATAGCTACACTCAGACTCTCAGAGTAACATTACAAGCATCATATTCACCTGAGTACATTACGCCAGCACAGAAAAAATTCAAGATTTTTTAATTATGAACCAAAAAAACTACCGGCAAGGTCGGAGTACGTAGTGCTGTGTTCCTCACTCCCTCAGTCACTGGATATTCCATGCTTAGACACACTAGACACCAGAAATGTTATTATCCTAACGTTTGTATTTTTAGAACACAGAATCCAATTCCAAAGACGAAACTGACGAACCGACTGGTAAGACTGACAAGGGTCAAGGGAAACGGGAATGGGTTGCGCCGCAATTGCAGATCAAAATTTAGCCTCTGAACAAGAACAAAATACCAAGTGTACCACTAGATAACTAGTTCCTCGTGATTTTTGGAGTTAGCATCGCTCCATAACTTCTTACTTTCTACAGGCACGGATCAATTATCATCAATAACAGATGGTCTTTACTGGACCTCTAGGAAGAACAGTTTAGAACTGATAGAGCTATCCAGTATAAATAAAGTTAGTTTAGTTTAGGTTTCCTCCTGTAGTAACACTGGATCAATAAGAGATGACTCTTACTGGACCTCTAGGAAGAACAGTTTAGAACCGATAGAACTATCCAGTATAAATAAAGTTAGTTTAGTTTAGGTTTCCTCCTGTAGTAACACTGGATCAATAAGAGATGATCCTTACTGGACCTCTAGGAAGAACAGTTTAGAACTGATAGAGCTATCCAGTATAAATAAAGTTAGTTTAGGTTTCCTCCTGTAGTAACACTAGATCAATAAGAGAACATCCTTACTGGACCTCTAGGAAGAACAGTTTGGAACTGATAGTGCTACCCAGTATAAATAAAGTTAGTTTAGTTTAGGTTTCCTCCTGTAGTAACACTAGATCGATAAGAGCTAGATGATCCTTACTGGACCTCTGAGCTATCCAGCAAATCGTTCCATTTTCAACCATGCATGCGATCATTTTCAGGAGACTCCATCTCAGACGAAGAAGACTTGTTAACCACAGAGATTGTTCCAAAGTGGGACGAACTTCCAGAAATTCCAGCACCGAGCATTGGACGAGCCGACGTCGAAAACAACAAGGAATTTTTCATCGAAAATTTTGAATGTCTTGGCTCGACACCCACCGAGGATAAGGAGGAACCAGTGTTCCAAAGTGCTACCGAAGAAGCTCCCAGCGACCCGTCGCCGTTTGTGAGAAACACGTTTCAACGCACGAGTATTTCTGCCAGGTTTATACAGAGGTCCAAGAAAAGTTCGGCAAGGTTTGTTATTATTTACAGTGAAAGCATGTATTTCGTTAAAAAATAAAAAAAACACGTCAATGTTTGGAGCAAGAGGACATTGTCATCTGAGTCTGGTTATTCAAAGCTGGATTAGCGCTAACCCTCGGTTAAAATTTAACCTGCCGTTTCAGTTTGTGTATTTCAAAACTTCAGAGAAGTAAACTTCAAACAAGATTTCGGAAGAAACATTTTTAAATTTATGAACAATCTGTTAGGAAATTTGCTTTGAATTTTAGGTTAATCTAGGGTTAAGCTAACCGGCTTTTTGAACAACTGGCCTGTCTGGTTGAATGTTCTACGCTCCACTTGTTTCAATTTTGTTCTCCAAATTCAGCCTCGGCGCACTCGAATTACAGGCATAAAAATTTCACATCTTGTAGCAAGTCTGCCAACAAAATGTCAACAAGTTGTGTTCGCACTGCTTGTTCCCAGTTGTTGTATTAAGTGTGGAACAAGCTGTTAACAACTTATCAGACTTGTTGCAAAGTTGTTCCAACACGTCCGATACAGTCATGATATAACAATATTGTTACAACCTTGTGTCGTCAACCTTGTAACATTCTTGTAAGATCATGACTGTATCAGACGTGTTAGAAAACTCGTGTAACAAGTCTAATAATTCCATCAAGCTTGCTACAAGTTGTTAACAGCTTGTTCCAAACTTGTTACAACAACTAGGAACAAGCAATGCGAACACAACTTGTTGACAGCTTGCAAACAGATTGTTTGCTGTCCTGTAGCAACCTGTGAACGAGCATACTCACGTAAAAATCTCACAACGTCAACAAGAGATGTTCGCAACAGGCCTGTAGCAAGCTTGTCAACAAGTTGTAACGATGCTGTTAATTTATCAAGTTGCTACAAGGTTGTCACTCACAACTTGTTGACAAATTGTTGAATTGCAGCAGGACGATAACAAGTTGTTGGAACAACTTGTAATAAGTCTGTTGAGCTCAACATCCTTGTAGCAAGTTGTCAACAAGCTGGGAACAAGCAGTGCGAACACATCCTGTTGACAAGTTGTTGGAACAGCATTGCTACAAGTCTGCTGCAGGTTTGTTACAACTTGTGCGTTTTTAATTGTGTAGGTGACCTAAGTTGCTAAAGGTCTGCAAACAAGTTGTTACAAATCTGTTCACAAGCTGTCGACAAGTTGTGTTCGCACTGCTTGTTCCCAGTTGTTGTAACAAGTTTGGAACAAGCTGTTAACAACTTGTAACAAGCTTGATGGCATTATCAGACTTGCTAACAAGTCTGATACAGTCATAATATAACAAAAATGTTGCAAGGTTGACGACTAGAGGTGTGCGTCGGATCGGATTGACCTCTCTCAATCCGATGGTTTGTCTAAGTTCTCAATTCGAATCCGATCCGATCCGAAGATGAAAAAAGTAATCTGATCCGATCCGATCCGAAACAATGTTTATAAAATCCGATCCGATCCGATGCTAAAATTCGTAATCCGATCCGATCCGAACTTAAGTTGTGTACGCTGTACAGCGTGCCATAGATTAAGGAATGAATAGATGGCTCACTCCTTTGATGTTTTTGACGCTGCCGGCGCCCACGCATGTTCTTGCCAGAGTAATGGCGGCCTAGCAAGTAACTGTAGTAAAATGCATTGTAAAATTGACATCGGTGCTACTAAATTCTGTATTTTTATAATTCTGATTTATCTTTCCATTAAACCCCCCAAAAGCGGAAAAATACAGGATTTAATAGCACGGATGTCAATTTTACAATGCATTTTACTACAGTTACTTGCTAGGCCGCCATTACTCTGGGAAGAACATGCGTGGGCGCCGGCAGCGTCAAAAACATCAAAGGAGTGAGCCATCTATTCATTCCTTAATCTATGAGCGTGCGTTAATTATTATGAACGTATTTTTTCATGATCATAAACGATATATTGGAAATAATGAATTTCTAGCAAAAATAAGCAGATACGAATCCGATAAAAATTGCAGGGCGATATCACATAATTATGCCTTATAGCGTTCACATTTACAGTACACAGTAACAGCAGTTTATATTTTATTAGAATTAGCATAGAAAAAAAACCCAACTAGTCAAAAATGTTTTATTCAGTATAATAAATCATGAGCTTGAGCTAGGTTTACATTTTAAAACATCTTAAAGTTTATCACTAATAAACCTCATTGTCAGGCTTCATGATAGATAAACCTAACAAACCAAACAAAAAAACACAACATTCCTAAATTTCCTATATATCCAATTCCCGTACGTAACTGAGAAATATACGTCCAAAATCCAAATAACTCAAAACTCTTTTTAGAAATATATGTCACAAGAACTCAAAACACTTTTATACCAGGTGTTCAAAAAAAAACTGGACACTGTTTGTTTCGCGAGCGAGCAAAACGTTACTTTGACTTTGTAGTTTGTAGTTTGTATGGACTATATGGATTATGGAATTACTTTTATGCTCAAAGCCATTGTGAATTCTGATGCCATTTGTAACGTAAAAAGTGGAATACAGCTGCAGAATATAGAACTTTCTCAATTTGTAAAAATATTCGAATAATTCGACGTGATACAAGAAAAATCAAATCCGAACCGATCCGACAAAAAACCTGCAAAATCCGATCCGACAGAAACAAAACGAAATCCGATCCGATCCGAGTAATTTACTGTCCGAATCCGATCCGAATCGGATCGGATTCGGATCGGATTCGCACACCTCTATTGACGACACAAGGTTGTAACAATATTGTTATATCATGACTGCATCAGACTTGTTGGAACAACCTTGATAATATCAACAAGGTTGTTACAAGTTGTTAACAGCTTGTTCCATACTTGTTGACAACTTGGGAACACAACGAACACAACTTGTTGACGGCTTGTTAGCAGACTTGTTACATGATGTTAGATTTTTACGCGTGTGGGGTCGCACGAAGCAAGAACATCACATGAATTTATTGTTCATTCTGTTTGAACCTTTTTAACAGATCCACACCGACTAAGGAGATTGAAACATCAAGCAACGAGAATATTGATATCTTAGAACAGGTTTGACTTTTTTTATGACTTATTTTTCCCTAGTAATAAGTCAGGGGTAATCGGTGGATCAAGCGCTTTTCATCCTCTGGACTCAAGAAGTTTTGAAGAATTTGTAAGAAATGTTGTTTTTGCACAAGTGAATATAACAAATCTTACAAGTTGATTAGTCAAATTTGACGTATTAAGCTTAATATAACAAAACGAAATTTTCAAAATGGCGGCTAGCTGTTCTGTGGAAGTTACGGATGAAGAAATAAGCGAAATTAATATAAATTCAGTCCCAAAAAACACAAAAGACTTGTGTAAAAATACTAAAACAATTATTCGCCTCAGGCTCGGTGATTATAGGGGAATATTCACCTCGACTTCGTCTCGGCGAATATTCCCCGATAATCACCTCGCCTTCGGCGGATAATTGTTAAATATTGTAAACTTTATTGGACAGTAAAACAACCTGTTTACACTTGCAATTTTTGTTGTGATTTCTAGTGCGATCTCCTTCTGATGGATGTGAATGAGTAGATGAGTTATGAATGTTTTGAGTATATATATCCTCATCTACTCGTCCACTCGTTCACATCCATCACAAGATGAAAATCGCACCTAAAATCGCAGCACAAATTGGAAGTGTATAAATGGGCCTTATAAGACCGGTGTCGCAGCGGATAGTGTCCCCCGCAGAATGTGTCTCCCCGGACACTATCCGCTAGCGGATTATGTCCCCCCGGACACTATCTGCTAGCGGATTGTGTCCCCACGGACACTATCAGCGACGCGGATAGTGTCCCCCCTAGCGGATACTGTCCCCCCATAAAACTACTGATGTAAGCTTTTATTAGGTTCTGGGTTTTATTGGTAGAAATGACGCTATATAATTATTAAGTTTATAGCAATTTACACTAATCTAAACCTTTTCAACGGTCACATCAAGAAATTGAATAGTAATCTTAATTAAAGGTACTTACCTGTCGAAATGTTCAGACCGAATCATACCAATAGAAATAAGTATAGCAATATGATTTTCTTATTATGAATTTAAATTGAAACATTGTTATTATCAAATACATCGAGTAAATGAACTAAATGACTCCAAAAAAACAACGGCGCACAATGGCTACGTACACAAGTAATGGCTGGATTACTCAAAAGCATTCCACGCATTCCGCGTAAACAAAAGCACAATGGCTGGATGACTCACATGCATAAAAACACATAGAAAGCAACTGACGTGTATATAGAGATGGTCTTTACAGACTACAGTTGCCCACTCGCCGTTGTATTGAGAGTAGGCTGCAAGCTTTTAGTATGGAGAACGAATCAACATTGTATCAACAAGTATACGGCTATCTACAAAATGACAAATGAGCCTTTGTTTTTGACTTTCACGTGGGGGACACTATCCGCGGCAAAGTAATTAAAGGGGACACTATCCGCTAGCGGATACTGTCCGCGGGGGGACACTATCCGCTGTGACACCGGCAGTCTAAAAGTGTCTACAGATTTGGCAGTCTAAAAGTGTCTACAAACTTGCGTGCGAAGATTAGCCAAGCCCAATATAGTCAATATACATGCATGCGTAGGTCACTATAGATGCCTGAAGGAAGGCTATAAGCAATGTCTGTGTGGTGTAAAAGGAAAAACAAGGATGATTCCAGTTGTAAACTAAATTTTGATCCAGACAAGTAGGACGAAATAGCTTAAAAGAACATCCTTAAATTACTGAAATTGCCAAATTTGGTTGCAAAATGTTGTAAAATACGGAAAATATAGCCCTGTAAAATTAGGAAATTTTGAGATTTTAGTATTACGCGCGGAAAATTTTGATCCGAAGATGCAATTTTTATCCGAAAGTGCATTTTTCCGCTCATAATATACTAAAAATCTCAAAATTTGTTAATTTTGCAGGGCTATATTTTCCGTATTTTACAACATTTCGCAACCAAATTTTGCTAATTTTAGGATGCTCTTTTGACTAGCTATAATGATATATTTCGTCTTTCTTGTTTAGATAAAAAATTAGTCGATAGCTGGAACATTCATTGCTTTCCACAACACGTTACGTTAAGGGCAATTTCTTCTTTTTGTCTAGAAAAATATTGAACTTGAAAAGCGAAGGGAGGAGTTGGAATCTACGAAGAAACGTCTTGAAGCCGTAAGTGGAATGTGTTGACAAAATTATCCAGTTTTGTCGTTGTTTTTCATCAGTTTGTGACCATTTCAATGATATTTAAAACCACACGGAAAGCCATTATCAGATTAAGTCACCATGCAGCTTTGCGTAATGTTTAGCAAAACGTGAAATCTTGTCGACAGATGACAATGTGTCAAAGTATATTTAACAATATATTTTGAATGTAAAATAAGGCAAAATATGGGAAATATGCATTGAACTGTGATATTGATGCTATATCAGACTCTCATATAGTCGAGTGTCTTGTTAGTAAATACACGACAACGCTAATGATATCTCAAACGTGGTGGTCCAGTGTAGGTATAGAATACTTCAATAATCTGCCGTGGTTTGTGTGTGAACTACCTGAAAAAGATATTTCAAACATGCATGGTGGTGCAGTGTATAGGTAGTATTCTAGTACAATAAACTATCATGGTTTGTGTGTGAACTACCCGAGCCAGTTGGCGACGCTTTGAAGCGCCTTCGCTCAAAATCTCAAGCTGTTTTAAAAACCTTTTCTTATAGTTCAGACACAAACCACGACAGCTTATTGACAAAGCTATTTATTCTATAGACTAATAGAATGAATAATTGTTAGTGTTTTACAAAATATAATCTAAAACGATTTGTGCCAGTCGAGGTTGTGGCAATAATAATTTTGAATGAAGGCCCTTACTTAACTCACGACTATAACCTCCCGAAACGTCGAAGCCCTTGCGAAGCTTTCTTGTTTTACAAAATGACGAATTTGGCTTCACTATTTTAGATGGGATTCAAATCACTTGACAACTGGACTAAAAAACACACTGACAGCCAAGCAAACGAAGATTCGACGAGCAATATAGTAGAAACTGAAGGCGAACAAAATTCACTTCCCGATGTAAAGCAAGCTACGATTGTCGCTTCGAAACCTGCCGAGATAACAGATGAAACTTCTCAGCAAAACGAACCAGATAAAGCGGGCCAAATTTCAGTGAAAACTGGAGATTCTGTTTCGCTAAGAATTGAAGTGCCTGTTTTTGAGAAAGTTGAAGTTTTTGGAACGGACGAATCGCGTGAAAGCGAAGCAGGGAGCCCATCAAAAAAAGCCTCGGAATTAATAGCATTTTTCGACTCCGGACAAAACGAGAAGACAAGCAAAATTAAAGCGAATAAGAAAACCGAAAAAGCTCAGACACGTACAAAATTGGGCGAAAAGAAAGCTAAGGATAAACATATTAATAGTAAAACAACTTTAAATAAACTTAAAGACGAGGAAAAGGCACAAAAATCTCAAAATAGAAAATCTTTTCCATTCAGTTTAACAAAACTTACCAAAACGAAGGGTTCAGATCGAAGACGTTCTGCGCCCAAAACAAATTTGTCGAAAGCAAAATCCTGTGGCGATTTAATTATGGAACAAAAAAGCGAAGATGTTGTTGAGCAGAAGCCTAGAAAGTTATCACACGCTGAGGAAGAACAGAAAAATAAGGACGTTTTAACTAAACAGGACAGCGAAAATATTGTGGATTCTAATCTGAGTGAATTATCGGCCGAGCTATCAGCCGCTTTAGCCACGCCCGCACCGAAACTTATTGAGCTAGATTTGTCACGTGATTACCTCATGGGGAATGGTGACATCAGCACGGGATATCGAAGTCTCGCAGCAGACAATGAGAAAGGTATTCTGTTCGTAAAAATGCACAAGTTGTTAAAAGTCTGCAAACAAGTTGTTACAAGTCTGTTAAAAAACTGTCGACAAGTTGTGTTCGCACTGCTTGTTCCCAGTTGTTGTAACAAGTTTGGAACAAGCTGTTAACAACTTGTAACAAGCTTGATGGCATTATCAGACTTGTTACAAGGTTATTCTAACAAGTCTGATACAGTAATGACAAACAAGAATGTTACAAGGCTGACGACACAAGGTTGTGACAATATTGTTATATCATGACTGTATCGGACTTGTTGGAACAACCATGTAACAAGTCTGATAATATCAACAAGGTTATTACAAGTTGTTAACATCTTTTTCCAAACTTGTTGACAACTTGGGACAAGCAGTGAGAACACAACTTGTTGACGACATGTTGGCAGACTTGCTACAAGATGTGAGATTTTTGCGCGTGTTAGCCTGGGTCTACATAAGTAAGAATCTCGCACAACTTGTCAACAAGATGTGTTCGGAACAGGCTTCTACACACGTAAAAACGCACACGTTGTTACAGGTCTGCTAACAAGTTGTTACAAATCTGTTCACAAGCTGTCGACAAGTTGTGTTCGCACTACTTGTTCCCAGTTGTTGTAACAAGTTTGGAACAAGCTGTCAACAACTTGTAACAAGCTTGATGGCATTATCAGACTTGTTACAAGGTTGTTCTAACAAGTCTGATACAGTCATGATATAACAAGAATGTTACAAGGTTGTAGCAACATTGTTATATCATGATTGTATTGGACTTGTTGGAACAACCTTGCAACAAGTCTGATAATATCAACAAGATTGTTACAAGATTGTTCCAAACTTGTTGACAACTTGGGACAAGCAGTGCGAACACAACTTGTTGACAGCTTATTGATAGATTTGCTACAAGATGTGAGATTTTTGCATGTGCAAGCTTGTCAACAAGTTGTAACAATGCTGTTATTTTATCAAGTTGCTTCAAGGTTGTCACTCACAACTAGTTGAATTGCAGGACGATAGCAAGTTGTTGGAACAATTTGTAACAAATCGGTTGAGTTCAACAACCTTGTAGCAATTTGTCAACAAGCTGGGGACAAGCAATGCGAACACATCCTGTTGACAAGTTGTATCTTGTAACAAGGTTGATGAGGCCAACAGACTCGCAACAAGTTGTTCCAACAAGTCTGATATCGTCTGCACGTAACAAGTTGATGACAACAAGCTCGTAGCAACTTGTTATGAACATCCTGTATTAATCTTGTTGGAACAACTTGTAGCAAGTCTGTTACCGTCATCAACCTTGTAAAAAGGTCTCATTCGGTAATACTAGAGTGTTTTCTAGACTGTTTTTTTTTATCTTTTCCAGCTTTTTCAAGTGAGGTTACAACGAACGAATGTCAGGAGGTTGTGGTGAATTTAGTTCGAGCATTTGAACGCGCTTTAGATTGCCATTCCAAGGTAAATCTGATCAGTTCCAGTGTAAATAAAGTTAGTTTAGGTTTCATCCTGTAGTAACACTGAATCAATAAGAGATGATCCTTACTGGATCTCTAGGAAGAACCGATAGAACTATCCAGTATAAATACAGTTTAGTTCAGGTTTCCTCCTGTGGTAACACTGGATCAATAAGAGATGATCCTTACTGGACCTCTAGGAAGAACAGATTAGAACTGATAGAACTATCCAGTATAAATAAATTTAGTATAGTTTAGGTTTCCTCCTGTAGTAACACTGGATCAATAAGAGATGATCCTTACTGGACCTCTAGGAAGAACAGATTAGAACTGATAGAACTATCCAGTATAAATAAAGTTAGTATAGTTTAGGTTTCCTCCTGTAGTAACACTGGATCAATAAGAGATGATCCTTACTGGACCTCTAGGGAGAACAGTTTAGAACTGATAGAGCTATCCAGTATAAATAAAGTTAGTTTCCTACTACACAAACACTTCATATTAGAAACTAATTTCCTGGGTTTTTCATTCCAGATTTTAAACGGGGATATCAAAGACAATCAACGTCAAGGTTTATCGATGCTCGCTGCGACTTTTACGACGATACATGAAAGTATTTCAGAGTGTAAGAATGAACGAGAGCGACGACTCGTGCGCTCGCCCAGAGCTTCCAAAAACACGGAAACGAACAGCGAAGAACACGCTGAAACTCAGCACGCGTTAACTAAACACACAGAGACAAAGGACAGTTCACAACAGACAGAACACGTTTTCACTACAAACGAAAACGGACAAATAACGCCACTATTAGAAAAATATTCCGAGTTACTTCTAAAGAAATTCGAAGAAAAAATGAATAACAAGTAGTATATTTAAATAATCAGATAATTTATTGTTAATATCAAAATACTGAATTATATCATCAGATGGTAATTTATTTAAAAAATATAGAAAGAGTTTAATGTTTGATAAAGCATATGACGTACTCGGATGCCTATAGTTTATACCACTGTTCTGATAATGTAAGCATAGAATGGAACAAAGGTGATTAATTAGATCTATACAATCATGATTCTAGGTTCATTCACAAGATCATTCCGTAATTATTCAGATATTTTTTCACCAAGCACAAGCTCTGCTGTCGTGAATACAATCAATTCTCCAGTCACACGACCAGTGGTCACACGACCATCTTTATCAGACAATGATATTTGAAGATTTTTGGGTGTGCCAAGCAAAGATACAATTTCAAAATAACCTTCCATTGTTAATACCTACAACAAGAGAATATTAAAATACTATATACCACCACATAGTTTACCATGGCATAGTATACTTACATACCATACAATACCACCACATAGTTTACCATTATAGCATACCATATACTATACCACCATGCACATAGTTTACCATTATAGCATACCATACCATATATGCCATAGCATACCACCACATAGTTTACCATACAGTCCATACCTTGGAGTTACTTACCATATTACATAATTATCATACCATATCAACCACAATATACACCATCAATACCATCCAACCAAATTCTCTCCCCTTTCCAGTTCCTAGAATAATTCTATAGTATATACCCTCTTAAAAATTTATAATAATATTTACCTTTTCGTCTTGACCCAAACAAATCACAGCCTTTGTGATGCTACCAACACATGTCATAATGAACGGTTCTTTTAGTTTGTGTTTTGATACAAAGATATTTAGACCATTACAAATCTCTTCTCCTGGTACCAAACGCAATGCATATGTCTTGATGGTCAAGTCATCGACAGTTGTGTCCACCTCTCCTTGTGAGGTTGGGTCCTGTGATTCACTTTGTAAGTTTGACTCAGCATTGTGGTCTAGTACAAGCAGTTCAGGAAAACCAGTTTGTTCATCATGTGTCCTTGTGAATGAAAGATTCTTACACTCTCCAACGACAATCTCGACATTTCCAGAGGCGACCACTGGTCCAAAAACATGGCCGCCTATCACCTCACCATCTTTGTGTGAAAGCGAGGCGTGTAAATGACCATTGCCACCAGATATTGTACCAACAAATGACTCTATCTTGGTCAGGTCAGAAACTTCTTTCACCTAAGGTTATGTTTAATTAATTGTTATTCTCTCAGATAACACAAAGATCAAGTGCAATCCAATTTCAAACCAGCTACTCAATTATACTGCATAGCATAGTTTTTCAGTATAAACTGTTTAACTTCTTCCTAGGGGAACAGGGTGCACTAGGGAGAGGGGGGGGAGTGGAACACCCTCCACTCATGAACAAGTCTGCAAATGCAATTGTGCGCATTCTTTCATAAAAAATTGAGCTGTTTGCACATGGAGCGAATTATCATATTTAGTTAAATAAATTAAAACCAAACATGAAATCAATTTAAATATCAAACTTAATACTTCAAAAAGTAAGGTGAAGAGATATCTTGAAAATGTGCTCAATTAGAGGGTAATTTAAAATTCAAAACAGAGCAACAACACCTGTATATAAATGCAGTTGGTTTTTGCCAGTGGTCATATATATGGCTGAAAACAGTTGTTGTGGGTGTTTTGTACTCGTCTAACGCCAGATGATTTTACTCATCAATGGAGAATCTCTGCAGCTTAATGGGTTAACCAAAAAATCTGACAATGTCTCTAGTTAACCCATTGAGCCGCAATGTGCCCCAGTGCACCCTACTTTTTTTTACTTGTCTAACAGCAGACAATTTTACTTCTCAATGGAGAAGCTCTGCATGCAACTTAATTAGTTATAAGGATGAGTTTCAATCGTCAAGGTAGTCATTTGAAATCTTCCCCGGAATGGAGGAAATGCATTTCAGAGACTCTAGATTTCAAAGTTCGACAGTTTTTATTGCAAATTGAACCAAGCTATGACTCTGCAAAACTATAGCCCCCCCCCCAATAAAAGGAGGCCTAGAGCCACCCCCAAGGAGGAAGTCTTTAGAACCAATCTTATTTATATACTTGCTCTAGCAATTCTTCCAAAGGTAACCAGTAACACTGCATCACAAACAGACCATAAGCAACTTACGGGTTGATATGCATTCCAAGATTCTGCCATCCTTAAAGTGGCTCTGGATACTTCACCAGCACACTGCACCACAAACGCAGCTTGGAAATTTTGAGTTGTCGTAAAATCCTTAAGATATTTCACTATATCGCACCCGGACGAAACAGTGACTGCATGAGAAGAATATTTTGACATTTTAAGAAACACGAGTAAATCCTTTCAAAAATTGCTCAGTGATATAACCAATGATATATGTAACTGCGAACCGTATAAGGGCATATTAGTGCTCAGGCCCCACAAAAAAACAAAACGTTTATATACCAACTTGAACTTATGCGAACTTTTGCGAACTGTAGTTTACACGAAGGACTTATCTTAGTGATATTATTGTTAAAACATTCGTTTTACGTCAAGTTTAGACGTCAAGTTTAGACGTATGTAGAAGGATATTAAAGGTTAGATTCAACTTGCGTTAACGACTTACGACTACTCTTTAATCCTGGATGTCTCGTCTTGCTTGTCAGTGTTTATGAACGAATGAACAATCCTAGCACATGCGTCTAATATCACTAACGAAACGCTAGGAGTTACAGTAAAACGAATTAAATTCACAACGAAGGAACGAACCTGGTCGACATCAAGGTCAGAAACACGTACTTTATTCGCATTTGAGCGTCATATTTGCGTTTATAAGGGCAAATAGCCCGGTCGAACGATCATACAACGTGGTCTCGGCGCCATTTTGAATACTTAATTATCGGAAAGCAACCGGAGAGCGCTCGGGCGTACTTCGTAATTCTTGCGAAATATCAAATATGGCTGAAGAAAATGAGACAGGGGTGCCAGATCTGCCGGTAAAAACTGGTACTACATCATCGACACATGAAAATGAGTTTTATAGAATATCAAAGAAGTTAAGAATACAAATTAATCATTTGCAAGGACAAATAATAAAGGAAACAAACATCTCCATATTAGAAAAGGAAGCAAATATTGTAGAACAATGCATGAAGGAACTAACTGCTGCCCAAGAAGAATTAGAGCGCATCCAAGGTTCAGCCATCGAAAAGATGACATTTTATAGTAAGTTTGAGGATATGAGTCGAGAAACAAATCAAATACTTGCCCAAGCGGTGCAAGCAATTCAACAGCTAAAATTGAATGAAAACGAAGAAGGACATTCAGTAATCACATCCACTCATCGAAGTAGATCAAGTCATCGAAGTAGACTATCTCGTTCATCACTAGCTAGTACTAGCTCATCCGCACGACTTCGTAGACTCGACCTCGAAGAGGAAATTGCAACATTGAGAGCCAAAATAAATCTTGTAGAGGAAAGGGAACAACTAGACAAGGCTAACCGAGTCGCACTCGAAGAAATCGAAAGGCGAAAGCTGGAAATCCAGAGCGAAGAGCAGCGTTTGATTGAGCAAATCGAAACCACGAAGGAAACATTCAAACTTAAGGAACAGTTAGCAGAAAGGGAAGCAAGAGTCGAGGCATGCACACG